TAATCAATCTTCCTTTACTCCATGCTTCTTCCTTTGTTAATTGTTCTTTCTTCTGAGAAATTTCAGTTCTTCCTCTAAAAAAACTTCAAATCTTCTTCCTCAAAAAAAACTCTTGCTTTGAAGTATCTTTGTCCTTCTTCACTGTAAGAATTTCTTAAGTATGAAAACCAATAAACACACAATGAGAAAAAGAAGAAGAAGAAAGGGTTTAGAAGATGAACTTATCGATATGATTTTTTAGAAATGTAAACCTATATATAAATTGATTCACCTGGAGTTGTATGGTTGGAAAGAAAAACTTCTTTGAAAATTCTCAGAGAAGAGTTTTTGTCGTATGATGATTTTCATATTTTTTGTTTGTGTTTTGTGAAATGGAGAGAAAAGTTTTAGAAAATATTTATACATAAAAGGAGTTCTAAAGATCGTGGGTTAGTTGGTGATATTTTGATTTTTTATTTTATTTTTAATAAAACAGTTTATCAAACATAATTGAAGAAAATAATAAATAAAAGATGAGGACTTTAGAGAAAAAGTAAAAATCATTTTTTGACATTTAAAATATAGAACACAATCGTAAATTAAATTATTATGAAAACAAAAAAATATTTCGAAAAGTAATATTTTAAATAAAATTATATCATCTTAATTTATGAATTTTTTTCTAATTACCTCGTTTTTCTAAAAATATATGTAATTTATTGATGCTATTAATATAATTTATTTTAGCATCACTTTTTTATGGTGTTAATTTTGTATCATTTAAAAAATCGATTTTATCAAAAAAATACATACATCAATTATCTAAATGATGTAAATATGTATTTTACATCAATTTCTTTTAAAGTGATACAATCTACTAGAAATTGAATCAGTTTTAAATAATTGATGAAAATTAGTTAATATTAGCATCAGTAATGTAATTGATGTTAAATTATTTATATTTGCTTCACTTATTAAAAGGTAATTTAAAATAAGATCACTTAAATTTGTGATACAATTTAAGTGATACAATATAGTCATTTTTTTGTAGTGGTATTTGATTATCGTGCAATGTTTCTAGTATTTATACGTATACAGTTTGAGGATGAATATACAAAAAGTATGGTACGATTCTCTTGGGATGTTGTGCATATATAATAGATCACCTCTTTGGCTACTGGCTAGCTAGAGCAATGTCAACCTGACTCCGATTCTTTTGGGAAAAGGGTTGCATATTTGGACTCTTTTTAGCTTTATGATACGTTTTCCTCGAACCATTTCTTTGTTCTTTTTTTCTCTCTTGTAAGAATTTGTAGGGTTTTTTTTCTTACAATAGTAACTATACAAACTGTAAAATATTTAGTAAAGTCTAAGACTGATCAATTTTGAAGAAAAAAAAAATAGTTGACTAAAGTAAAAGAAAATACACTTAACTAGGTATAATTTACAAGTCGTACTTTTTTTTGAAATATCAAATATCTAAACATAAGTAATTTGTTCTCTTAATAGTATTTTTTTTTTGTTTTTTGTTTTAATTATACGTAAATAATCCATGCTAATACATAATTTAATACATGTTGTTATCTTACGATATCATTTATATAGAAATATAATAGCATATTTGTTCATCACTTAACACACTGAGATGTTAATTTTAAATTTTATTTCTTTTCCATATTTCATTATTGATTTCACCTATAATAATTCGTTTTTTATATATAAGTAATTCACCTATAATCATTCGTTATATATATACTCTTACTAAACAATTCATATTTCAACATTTTTTTTTTAACACTCACAATTCATATTTCAACATTCTATGTTTTTTTTTCTTAACATAAAATAATTCGAATTTTTTTTTTCTTTCCAAAAGTGATATTTTCTAACATTCTCTTTTCTATTATTTTTCACATTTGTTTTTTATTTCGTCAAATACATTTTCTAATATTTGGAAAAACGCAATTAAAAGTAAGTTGGAATAAAAAGACAAGTGGACAAGGCAAGGGCAGGCACGACGTGGCGAATGTCGATTGGACCTGAGTTCACGTGATTGGGAGTGGTGTCAGGTGTGGTGGGCTCATCTCTCCGACGATAAAGCGACTCTGCTTTTTTTTTTGCTTTCCTATTGTCTCTTTCTTTTTTTCTCTTCTCTTCTAATTATAAAGTAATAACGAGAAACCATGAAATTATGATTGAAAGAGCATTTTGTAACTTAACTCACTAATGGCTATTTTTAATCCACTATCAAACGATCAATCACTCATGTGACTGATAAAGTTATACCAAATCCTCATGGCTCTTTCCATAATTGTGTAGGTTTCAATCAAATCTACTAATATTTGTCACAATAATCAATTCGCCTGCCATATACTATATTTCTATTTTAAATTCACTGAATGAGGTAGTACTTCATTTCAGTCAATTTAACTCGACGTCTTTTAAACCTAAAATATAATCTTAACGCAAGTATCAATACAAAATATAAACGACGCATCTTTTTTATTAAAAGACCCATACACATTATAGTATCGCCAACAGTTTATGTGTGGTCAAACCATTACATCAAAGTCGATAAATGTTAGATGTGCACAAACTTGGTTGATAGAAAAACAAAAGAATTTACGTGGCCATTATAACATCCGGGAACTAGGATAAATTTCACATGGCTTTGTAATACGAACGTGGCACCATGCAACGTGTGATATATCGATGATTAGATCAAAATGCGTTACACGCCCACAACATATGTATTCAATTATTTGATGTAAAATATTATAGATAAATTGTATAGCTAGATGGGTAAGGGGACAATGGCATGAGTTTCCTTCGTGGGGTTTGATTGCTTTTTACAAAATTTCTCTCTTTCTTTCTGTCTCTTTCCATCTTAGATTTTTCTGAAATGCTCTAGAATTCGATCTTAGCCTTACAATTCGATCTTGGCCTTACAATGATATTTTACACATATTGTATAGTTTTTGCTATAAGAATTACTTGTGGATCAGAACTTTGAACTGCAACTTTTTTTTTTCAATAATACGTTTCACATTAAAAGGGTCACAAATTATACAACGACTTCATAAACATTTTTTGACGTTTGATTTGTACGGCATGACATTTGAAAGCTTTTTTGATAACTTTTTTCCTCATATCCTTTTCAATCTACCACATATATAATTCATTACATTTTTTTTTTTATAAATTCTTAGCATCTTACAATGACAAATCAAGAAATCAATTAAAAATGAAAATTTCCACGAAAATCACACACATAAATTATCAAAATGTGTAGAAGCATCTTCATCTTCGTGTCAGTGTGGTAACCATTCAATAACGAGTCAAATGGTTTCTAGGGATTCAATATCATTTTTCATATCCTTTTATAGATAGTCGAAAAAATGGTAAAATGAGACTATTTGATGAAACGAAGTGCCGTTTATATGAATCGTGATCAAAGCCGTGACGTTCTCTCCGATACACAAATAATATTTTATAATACTCAACGTTAATTAATTAATTAAGCTACAATACAAATTAAATACGCACAAAAGAATGTTTCTTTGGACCTCGATCGTTTGCATGGGGACATGTGCGTCAATATGAGTCGTACGTCGTGAGTGAGCTGTATATATGTATGAACTATAAAGAGGAGTGTGAGTAAAGGTTCTTTATCTCTGAACACAAGTTTACCAAACCAACCAACTCCGAGATTTATCTTACTCTTTTTTGTATTTTTCCTCTTCCTTGTTTGCTTTCTCTATTGAAGAAGTGAATCTGGACGATTAAGGCCGTCAAATTTTGGAACTTGAACCATCAAATTTATCAAAATATTTGGTTCTTTGAATCTCTACTTGTATTTAAAGCTTCTTGATTCACCATAAACCCGATTATTCCATTTCCATTTTTTTCTTCTGTGTCATTAAGACATGAAGGTTCGTTTAATCACTCCTATGAGTCTTGTTCTTATTTTCAAAAATAGTGTAGCATGATAACTCATAAATGGTATTCTTTTTGTCTTTTTTTATCAGTTCTTCGGGTGGATGCAAAACAAGCTACATGGGAAACAAGGGAATACTCATAGACCAAGCATATCCTCTGCTTCTTCTCGTAAGTTCAAGATTACACTAATTAACTAGATTGAAGATTCTATTGTCTACTTCTTTGTCGAGAACAAAAATTTTGATTACCAAAGTTGCTGTCTACTTGGGACATGTGCAAAGCAAAAAATACTCCTCCCAACATTCTCCTTTCCATTGATTGGCTCCGATCTCATAGTTTTCTTTTGTTTTCTGTTAACAAGATCAACCGAGAGAGGAGTTTAGCGATTGGCCTCACGGGTTACTAGCGATCGGAACATTCGGTAACAAAGAGCATACACCACAAAAACTTGATCAAGAAGTGATTCAAGAAGAGACGGTTTCTAACACGCACGTGGAAGAACAAGCACAAGATAGAGATCAAGATCTTTCTTATTCCTCCGACGATCTAGAAGAAGATTTCACTCCTGAGGAAGTCGGGAAACTACAAAAGGAGCTGACGAAGCTATTGACGAGGAGGAGCAAGAAGAGGAATTCTGACGTGAACAGAGAATTGGCAAATCTTCCTTTGGATAGATTCTTGAATTGTCCTTCGAGTCTTGAGGTCGATAGAAGAATCAGCAACGCGCTTTGTTCCGATGAGAAGGAAGAAGACATTGAGCGTACGATCAGTGTTATCTTAGGAAGATGCAAAGCCATTTCGACAGAGAGCAAGAACAAGACGAAGAAGAGTACGAGAGACTTGAGCAAAACCTCTGTTTCTCATCTCCTCAAGAAGATGTTTGTATGTGCAGAAGGTTTCTCCCCAGTACCTAACCCTAGCTTGAGAGACACGTTTCAAGAATCTAGAATGGAGAAGGTACTGCTCGCTAATTAAAGTTCACAACACATAACTTCCAGAATAAAACTTATACATGACATTGATTATTAACACTGTATAATACAGTTGCTGAGAACGATGCTACACAAGAAGATTAACACTCAACCTTCCTCGAAGCAAACATCAACGATTAAAAACTTGCAAGAGAAGCAACAACTTTCTTTGAAGAATGAGGAAGAAGAAGGGAGAAGTAGTAGCGACGGCGGTAAATGGGTCAAAACAGATTCTGATTGTGAGTTTTCAGATCTTTTGGTTTGTTATAAAATAAATCAAAATAGAAAAAAATACATGAACTGATTCGATTATTTTTCTTCTTGTGCAGTCATTGTTCTTGAGATCTGAATATATTGATCCACATTTGCCTTATTCATGTTCTTACAAGAAAGTACAGGTAAATAATTAACCTGATCAATAAAAAATGTTTCATTTTCAGTTGCATTTTGCCTATAATATTGAATCTGATATTAGATATTATGTTTTGTTTCTCAGATATATATAGAGAATCTTTCAATGACATCAAGACAAAGAAATGATCGATCAATCAATTTCATTTTCTTTCTGATGAAAGTTTTTGGGTAATCTGCAAGATCCCATGAATCCCTTTTTTTGCATGGTTGGATCTTAAAAACCAAACATGTTTTGGGAACTTAAACATCAGACAGTACATGAAGATATTTATATGCATGCATACATGTGTGTGTATATGTAAAGATAGATATATATATATATACACATACATGTATGTATGTATTTTCAGGTGGATAACCTTGGTTTATAGAGACATACTTCCTCTTTCTTTTTTTCTTTTTTTTTTCAGTCATTTTTACATGTTTTGTTTTCTTTTTCTTTTTTTACTTATTGTAACACAAAACTATTCAGATTAATAAAACTTTTGTCTTAGCCTTGTAATTTTTGTTATCATTTTGTAATCTTTTCTAGGAATGTCACTAAACTTTTCGATATTCATAAAGAATCTGTGAATAGTATATTATAAGAGCAAAACATAGAAAATAAAGACTAAATTGGGGTATTATATGAACTAATTTTGATGTAATTAAATTTTATGTGAGAGATTTGAATCAAGATATTGAAAATGAAAGTTTTTCACAACAACTATGTATAACTTTCTCATTCAAAATAAATAAAAAAAAAATCATAAACAATACCCTTGTTAGGAGGATTAGACTGGATCTCAAGTCTTCAATATATTATTTTACACTGTTGATACAAATTTTGTTATTTTTTGGAATAACAATATACGAGTTACCTGATTCAAACTCAGATGGTGTTACAACCCTAACAATATACACAATTTTTATGTTTGTTCATTCCTGATCTCAACAAATAAAATCTACACATGACAGTTTGGTGCTACAATAGTAACAATACATAAATTACTTTCTCTCAGACAAAAAAAAAAAAAAAAAATAGTAAGATCCAGTCTGGAGTCTGGACCATATATCACAATATAATTAATGGGCTCACGAAGGCCCATAAAAATTTCAGGAACTAAAATACTAGACCCTCTAAGTGGTGTGGAGGCTTCACTAGTCCAACTACACTTAACATAGTAGAAGTAGAACCTTCAAACATCTGGAGAACGATCAAGGAGCAACCTTTACCAGCCGTCCGATCAACCGACTGATTTGACACATCTGAGCTCTCCTCACTGACTTCTTCAGTCATCAGTTCTCTTCCTTCAGATCTCTGCAAGAAATTGGGTTTACAATGTTGCTCCAACTTCGTCTTCTGCTTCTGCTATGTCTAACGTCATCTTTGAAAGTCCAAGCGTCGGTGCATGAGTATCGAAGCGAGAGATTCATGTCCAAAGGCAACGCCTTTGTGTTCCATGGTGGCAGTGAAGGCATCTACTCCTCTTCTCCTTCCGATAACTTCACTTCCGACTCCGACTCCGATTCCGTTTCCTTTATCCGGTAATTTAACAGTCAAAGTTTCTTCTTTTAATTCAACTTAGGATCTGATTTGTTAATCACTGAATTCATTAAAGGGCAATGAATGCTCTTCAATTGGGTCACTATTAGTTGCAAAATTGTTACTTGGCGGTTTGGATCTTATAGTTTCAAGCTGATTCAGTTCTTTGAGTAACTCCTTTAGCTGTGTTCTCCTGTTATAAGTTTGATACTCTGTGTTTGTTTTGTGTGAGCCTTAACTTCACGGTGAAATGCTATTGACAGGTTTGAGAAGATAAAGTTTCAGAGACCTAAGGAAGTATCTAACAGATCCTCATTACCTATCCACGCTGTGGTATTTGAGGTAGAGGACCGGGAAAACATTGGAGGATCAGCTTATGGTGGGCAAAGAGCTGTGTGCTGCACATCTGATCTGGCCAAACTTGGTGTTTGCTCTCACGGAGATGTCATTTACCGTCCTTCTGCTAAAGATTCTGGTTGGCCACAAGTGTTTGGTGTTTCGTTGCCTGAGAATGAGTTGTCTGTTACGCTGCCAACAAGATCGATCCAGGTCACTAAGACCGGGATGTACAACCTCTACTTCATTCATTGTGATTCTGATCTCAAGGATTTGGTTGTTGAAGGGAAAACTATTTGGAAAAATCCTACAGGATATCTACCCGGTAGAATGGCTCCGTTGATGTACTTTTACGGGTTCATGTCGCTTGCTTTTGTGTTGCTTGGCATCTTCTGGTTCTCGCAGTGTGCTAGATTCTGGAGAGAAGTGCTTCCGTTGCAGAATTGCTTAACTCTGGTGATAACCCTGGGAATGTGTGAGATGGCACTTTGGTATTTCGACTATGCTGAATTCAATGAGACCGGGGTCAGACCAACCGTGATCACCATCTGGGCAGTCACTTTTGGTTCCATCAAGCGTACAAGTGCTCGCATTATCATCTTGATGGTTTCAATGGGCTATGGTGTTGTGAGGCCTACGCTCGGGGGCTTTACATCAAAGGTTATCATGCTCGGTGTCACCTTCTTTGTTGCGTCTGAAATTCTTGAGCTGATGGAAAATGTAGGTGCTGTCAGCGATCTCTCTGGGAAAGCTCGTCTGTTTTTTGTTCTTCCTGTTGCAATATTGGATGCTTTCTTTATCATATGGATATTCAAATCCCTCTCTGCTACGTTCAAGAAGCTTCAGACCAGAAGGTTGTTGGTCAAGTTGGATATATACAGAAAGTTCACAAATGCTTTGGCTGTAGCCATTTTGGTTTCCTTGGGTTGGATTTGCTACGAGGTAAATTAACAAACAAATGGCTTTAATCTCAATAGCGAAAAAAGCATTGGCTTGTTCGAATTCAAAATCAGAATAAGTTTTTTTCTAATGCTTTTTGTCATTGGCAGCTTTATTTCAAGTCGAAGGATGTTTACAACGAACATTGGCAAAACGCTTGGATCATCCCGGCCTTCTGGCAACTTCTCTCCTTTTCTCTCCTAATTGTTATCTGTTCTCTCTGGGCTCCATCTCAGAACTCGACTAGGTAACGCCGTATCCAAGAAGAACATTTGAAAATTCAATATGAAGTTTGATGTTGGTCGGTTGTTACCAATAGTAACTGAGCGCAAATGTGAATGAAACTGCAGCTTAGCAAATAGAACCATGTCTAATCGTTTTTACCCTCCTTATCTTCATATAGGTACGCCTTCTCTGGTTCTTCAGGAGATACAAGCGCGGAGTTTGAGAAGGACGATTACACACTAACCCTCATTAAACCATCTCCAATTACTTCTCAAGAAGTCAAGAACCTCTCAGAAACCAGACCTTCACAAGACGACGAAGGAGAAGTAGAAAAAGACTTGGAGGAAGATAAAAGAGAGTAAAGTAGTGTAGACAGTAGTCACAACCATCGCTTTTGATACTTCTTTCTCTTTATCAACACCTCAATTTTTCTACATGTATTCTTTTTGATCACGTGAGTTTAGTTTGTACAATACAAAGGTTAAGAGACTTAATCAGTCTTTGTCTTCGGTGTTGTAGTGTTAGTTTGTGTGCGCTGTTTTTGTCACAATGTAATGTCTGAATCTCGTTATCCTATGTTGCAACATACATTTAAAGTTAGTTTTTCTTTCTTGTATCTCCTATGCGTTGGTCTATGACAACACGGCTATTAAGCTTAAAAACGGATATGACATTGACACCATACAACTTGATCATATGAACAAATGAACAAAAAAAGATTTTAAGCTATGAATTTGGCAAGCATACCAAACAGATACATTAAAAGTTCATACAACATTACAACTCATGAATCTGAAATTTTTTAAATCAAAGTTGTATCATCAATCCTTCTTTCTTTCTTGCTCGGTTTTTGGCTCTCCCGCAAAGAACCCGAATTGCGCGAAAAGAATACAAAGAATCTGTCTCAGTGAAAAAAAAACTCTAAAACTTCAGCAGAAAAAAATAAATACTTATCTCTCTCACTCGGATCGTCTTCTGAGATGCTGAGTTGCAGAATACCCCTCGAACAAGTCAAGAACCTCGGTCTCTAGATCTTCGACTGAGATCTTAATGTAATTCTCCGGGTGTTTCCCGCTCTCTATATGACTCCTGAACCTCCCAAGAAACGATCTGTAAGCCGGACTAAGCTTCTCCAATATCGAGATCTTCAACTCTTCCCTCAGCTGAGAATCTGGAACCAACCATTGTGATTGAACTCTATGAACTTCCTCAAACAAAGCATTAAAAGATTTAAACCTCTCTCTCAACGCACTTCTCGAAACACCTGATGAGAAACTTCCTTTTGTATGCAATCCTTCATCTCTTAAGCAATACAAGACTTTGACCCAAGCAGCTCTTTGGTAATATGTCGCAGCTTGCCTAAACTTACCCGTTAGCTTTCTCAAGTAAAGATCTCCTATCATTTCCCGTAGCTCCGGAGACCCTTTTATCTTCTGGACAATGTAGTGTGCGTTGTTCATGATAAAGAGATGCGATAAAGCTGCGTTTTTGTAGTACTTTGATTTGCCTTCAAGATTGAATTGCAAAATCACTATGATCCAAATCAGATGTAGTGCTAATGGACCTTTGTTGCTCTCTAACTCGGAGAAATCAAAATCAGGCGTGTTTGAATCCGTAGAGTTTCTTGATGGTTTTGACATGATGAGATCGATTAAAGTTGGTCTATACTCTGAGATCAAGCTAATGTAGTTCATCACGTACCTCGTCAACGGATGTATCGTACCTCCGGGAACAGGAACTCTAGAAGGTTCACGAAGAACGGCGTTTTCAAATTCCGATAATATCCCTCTCGCCGCTTCCGCCAACCTCGACAGTATCTCCGCCGCCTGAACCCTAATCGAATCAGAAGATTTCAGATCGAAGACTGATTCAATATCCGGCAAAAGCTCAATCAAAGCGTCGTGGAGATCAAGGATCTTGAAAAGCTTCTCCGGCGATCTCCTGCTGATACTAATCGCCTCGGCGAAATTAAAAAGCTGAATCGCCGGACCTTTGACTGTTTCCATGAAACAAGCCTCGTGTATGTTAACAGCTCCGACGCTTTCGAAAACATGCTCACAGAGCAATTTCTCGCTCGCGAACACGACTCTCACACAGATCTTAGCAGCTCGGATCCAACGGCGAATCTTCTGCTCAAGCGCTTCCCAGTTCAGCCTCTGAACATCTCCGATGCTAAGTTTCTCGATCCCTAACCGCCGGAAACTCGAATCAACGGCGGATTTGCGAACACTACCGTAAACTTGAATACACTCACGGAGATAACCAGCTGAGACCATACGGCGAGCAATCCAGCTGAGATGAACGACGGATTCAATCGGAATCAGCTCGATCTCGCGTATACTACTAGTAGATCTACTGTAACTACCTCTTCCGGTTGGTAAACGAACCGCCGCTGAACCGGTACTAGCACTCGAACCGGATCGTTTCAGAAGATCCGTTTCTTCTTCCTCCTGCTCATCGTCTTCGTTACTGTTACCATTATTACTACTGCTTCCGTCTTCGTCAACCTCAAGCTGAGAGGAAGAAGAAGAAGACAACATTAGAGAATCGGAGTTGATCGGAGAGCTATGAGAGACGAGAATGTTCCTGAACTCGTCTTCGAGACGAGCCATGGCGATCTGGATAGCTGAGTTAGCTCGGTTCTCGATATCTCCGCCGGAAGAAACGAACTTTTGGATTTCGTCGACGGCGTTGAGGTAAAGCTTAACTTCTAGCGGATCGTTGAAGATCATCTTCTCTCTAGCTTCTTCGGAAGCTGTGGCGTCCCATCGGATGATAACTTTCTCAGCTGATTCGAAACCGGAAACAGAACAGTCTTCGAGCCCGTCGACGCCGTGAGTTTGGTCCATTGTTTCATGCGAGTGATGATGATAGCAAAACACAGAGAAGAAGAACACAAAAAAAAAGTGCAACAATGGAAAGAGTTCTTCTTTCTTATGATGGAGACTTGAAACGAAACTTAAAAAAAGCAACAGAGTATAAGCTTTAAGAAAAAAAAAAAAAAGTTAATACGTCCAAAGTTTTTATTTTTATTTTTGAAGATGCTTTTTAACAGCTCTTAACCGTCATGGGAAGCGCCTTTTTCAAGTTAAATCCAACGTTTTCATCTATAGATTCTTCACCAACAAAAAAAAAATTAAACAAATTATATTATGATTGAAAATTAATAATTTGATAATTAATTATTAAATCTAATTTACAATTGATAATTAATTACTAAAAAATACATTTTTTTATTCTGTCTTTTTCGTGATATATCTTATTTTTAGGTATTTAGATCATCCTTAATGCAAGTATTTTAGGAATATAAAAAAAATTATAAGATATTTTCCTTTACCCTAAAATTTGCAAAGGAAAATATCTTATAATTTTTTTATGTATTAAAAATCGTTTATTGGTTTATGTTACCATTCCAATTTTTTTTTTATTGATTTGGTTAAACTTTGTTGAAAACAAATTTTAAAAAAAAAATAAAGGGGAGAAAATAAAATGTGTTGTTAAATACTAGTACTCCAAAAAGAATCATATGAAGAAGGTAGTAAGTCAACTATTCGACTGCTGCAATGGGCCGACATTCACGTGCTTGCACCCGATTTCCCATGCATTATGCCTTTTTTAAAGATTCACGGTGACACATTTTAAAAAATATACTTTCACAACACAATTTGTTAACGTTAATGGCTAATGCTATTAATTTCCTTTTTAATGATAAACTAAATTTTATTTCCATCTTATAGGTGGGATGTAATATAAGATCATTTATATCATAAATTATTGTTTTGTTTGTCGAACAAATGATATTAATGTTGAGCTAGTCGTTTTTTTGTTAAATTACAGTGGGAAACATTTATTAATGATCTTTTATACTTAAATTATTGATACGGGACAGTCTAGAAACATGAAGTCAGTTTTACATTACACGAGAAAAAATAATGTTGCACGAGTGGTGCTCTGCTGGATTTAGCCAGTTATACATTATTATTTAAGACTTATTAAAAAAAAAAAACAATACGAGTACAAGTTCAATTCGATGACGTTTTTATAAAGATAACACAAAAATGGTGTCCTAACCTAATAAATAAATCCAATGTAATGTGAACAGCTCATCTTATGCAAAACATTTATTGGGTTAGCAAATGTCATTAGATGTGTCCAATTTAATAATCATCACGATCTTTCAAGACAACCCAAAAAAAACTTTATACGAGTTGTTATACTTTGATTTGATGTTTGAGAGAATTCACTAAATACATGAATTTTTTTGTCCTGGTTCAGTGAGCATAGATAGATATCTTATTAATATCATTTAATAAGATAATCATAGTAACACAATACTATAATTTATTCGTACTCGTATAATTTCTTGTTCCTAGAATATGAGTGATGATTAATAATCAAATGCAGTGATGGGTCTTTTGTTGTCTGCTTAACTTAGATGTCTCTATAAATCCTCGCCATCATTTCCATGATAGACAAAGATAAAATAAAAAGCAATAATAATTTCTCACGATTCGTTAATCTACAGCTGTGTTTAGCTGTCAATACAATTCAGTTTTATCATATTTTTCTTTTCTTCATCACGTACGTATATTACAAACACGTGATATGGCCATATCATTGGTTCGTAATTCGATACTTCCATTGATTACTTAATCGCTAAATGTTGTGTGTTTCAATACTAATTAAAGTTTACAAGTTGTAATAAAAAAACAGCAAATCGCTAATGGTGTGTGTTAATATTACTTACCAAAGGTTACAACAGGTGGTAACAAAACAAGATTACAATCTGATAACTAATCTATTCTCAAAACGTTCAAACACACTTCTTTAGTTCTTTTGTTTACAAGTAGCCTTAAGTTGATGATACTTTAATCATATACAAATTTAGAGAGAATCGAATTAAAAACAAAAAAAAGCATAGTTTAAAAAAAAAAAAAAACAAAATTGGTGAATCTGCATGCATGAATGTGAAGCTAAGTTTCTATGGTGATGAAGTCGTCGTTAGAATCTTCAATCGTTAGTTCATCGATGACTTCGGTCATATTTGGTCGCTGATCTGGATCTTCTCCGGTACATCTGACACCGATCCTTAAAACGTTCTCAATCTCTTCCTCCATGATCTTATCATCAGCGGCAGCGTTAACCACCGTCGGATGAAGTAGATCCATCCAACCACCTTGTTCCATGGCGGAGCCAATCCACTCCACCAAATTCGTACCACCGGCTCTATCCAAACCGGCGTATTGAGACGGGAACTTTCCTGTCAAGATCTCAAGAACCACCACTCCGAAACTGAACACGTCGGATTTCGCCGAGAGTGTTCCTCTACGTTCCGCTTCTGGAGATTTATACGCCACGAGAGACTGAGATAGTGCGTCGGCATTGATCAGTCTTTGGAGTCCGAATTCGGAGACTAGAGGCTCGCCGTCTTCGGCAAGAAATATATTACTTGATTTTAGGTTTCCATGTGGTAGGTTCAGAAAACCTAATTCTCTATGGAGATACCACATTCCTCTAGCTACTCCTTGAATGATTTTGAGTCTCGATGGCCAATCTAATCCTTCACTGTGATCGCCGTGTAATCGGTGAAGCAAACTCAAATTAGGGACGAATTCGAACACTAGTAGTTTCTCGTCCCGTCGGAAATGGTAAGCAAGAGGTGTTAATACATTCCTGTGTCGCAAGGTTCCCAAGTTCGTAATTTCCTTGTCGAACACGTCAACACTCACTTGATTCATCACCGTCACACGCTTCACCACCACCGTGATGCCGTTTGAAAGCACCGCTTTGTATGCAGATCCCACGCCTCCGTTGCTGCTAGGACGGCTGCTTCCACCTCCGGGATTGTTGAGCACGTGAGCTGCTGCCTTCATCAAGTCAGTTAAACCAAAAACACCCTTTTCTTTGTTCACCATAACCAGCTCTGCTGCAACCGTTGATTTATTCGTCAATTCGCCCGAGCGACTACCCTTACTATGCCTCGAGCTACTCTTCGATTCATCAACAGTTATCTGACTCAATCATATCAAGAAGTTGTTTTTTTGTTTGTTAGTTTTGTTATATTAAAAAAAAAACACACTCTGTTTTAATGTTTTAAAGCTATGAAGTTTCGTGTAATGGAATTTAACCTGAATTTGTTGGTCATCAGCACTGTCTTGTTCAGAGGTACGAAGTGCCTTCTTCCTACGTCTCTTCTTCTTTTTCTTCCTGAAAGCTAAGGAGATAAGAACAACGAGAAGAAGAACTCCTAATGTCCCGAATGCTAGAAAGTATTTGCTCTTATTTGCATCTTTTAGTGTTCCGTCTATTGTAACCGACGCAGTCGCATTTCTTGGTTGTGGGCAGGCAGTTGCTAGCTTCGCACCGCAAAGACGAGAATTCCCTTCAAAAAACTTGGCCTCGAATTTAGACAAACCGCGAGGTATTTCTCCGGTTAGTTTGTTGTTTGAGAGATCGACATCATTTAAAGTTGTCTGTGTGAAATTCGGTATAGTACCGATGAATTGATTGTTCTCGAGGCGTAACTCCATTAGATTTGGCAATGCGGTAGCCAATGAGATAGGAATGAGACCAGAGAACTCGTTGTTTGACAGCCACGCTTTCTTTAGCGACACCATCGTTGTGAAATAGTCAGAAGGAATGTTACCAGAAAAGCGATTACCCGATATGTAAATTGATTTCAGAGCGGTTAATCGGTTAAACTCGGGTATGTTACCGGAGAAAGAGTTGTTCATTATGCTTATGGTTCGTAAAGAAGGTAGGTCTTCTAAAGGAGCGACATCGATGTTTCCTGATAGACCCATCTGTTCGATTTGAAGACCAAAGACAGAGTTTTTGTTGCAGAGTAATCCGACCCATCGGTTGCTTTCTCCACAAGGCTCTGAATCTATTGTCCAAGAATCAAGAGACTTGGTGTTGGTTAATGACTTCTTGAAGTTCAACAATGATTCTGTTTCTGTTATCGAATTTGCGGATAGTGCTGTTAGAGATAGCACGAACGGCCAGATTAGCCAGGCCACGGCCATTTACTTAACCGGAGCTAGGCCACCGTGAGTTTCAAGAAACTCTTCTTCTTCTTCTTTTTTTTTTGGTTAATCAAAGTGTTTTTTTTTTTGTTTGGTTGATTAGATTTACTAAAATTTTGTATCCCTTGTCTTGTTTCTCGCTCTGTCTCTGTTTTCTCTGTCTTTTCTTTTTTTTCTTTGTCATATGTGATCCATTGGATGAGAGGAACTTAGGAGCTTATGGCGCGAATGTTCGTTGAAAGAGTCAAGATTGAGATAAGCAAAAGCCAATATAAAGTATGCATTATTTGTAGAAGCCCATATGGCTTACTGGTGTTGATTCCTTTTTGTTTCCAAGCCCATACTCGGACAAATTTGATTTTTTATTTCTGTAAATAATTATTTAAACATATAGAAGTGTCTTAGAACACAAGTAAAAAGTTTTATGTACTTATGCATGATTAAGCAAGGAATACTCAAACACTACTTGTGTTCTGCTGGATTGAGCGAGTTATACAATTGACACAAATACTATTTACACTGGAATATACCAAGTAAAAGTATATATACTTATCCTCTCCTCTTGATCATATGAACAAATTCTCTTTCATTTGGATGTCACTATCTTATGTTAGTCAGTAGATGAAGGGTATGTGGGTAAACAATTTAATATGTGTATTTTCATCTCCTATTTCTTGTGTGTAACGGTTTTGCTAAGGTTCAAGCTTTTTAGGTCTTCCAAATTTGTAACACTTTTAACTCTTCATCTAATCAGGATATTTACTTGCTTAGCAAAAAAAAAAACAAAAATCTAAAGGATGTATAAAAATATAACTTACTAAGATCTGGAAGGTTGATTAGAATTGCAGTTGGATTAGGACATATACAGTAGCTAGTTTCTCTCCCATTTGCATTTTGCGATTTTCATGTAATATATGTTAACAAACAAACAAAAAGTCTATCGTGTTCATCTCACCTTCTCATCCTCCATTCTATATAACTTTTATCAAGGAAGGAGGATGATAAAAAAGAATCCAATGCTAAAACTTTAATTAAAGAACGTAATGGCTAGCTTGAAGATAATGCAGATAAACAAAGAAGCCAAGGAAAGCAATGAAGGCGACGGGACATCGATAATCTATGGCCAAATCCGTTGTACAATCAATTCTCAATTTATATATTTATTTTCTTTGTAAGAAAATCATATATCTCATATTAAAACCATGCATTAATGGATTTGCAAATCTATAATCCAATGCGATAAAAACATGTAATCAAATTTAATTACATGTTAAATAACTGTGTCGTACATATATAGTAATTAACTTCTAACATACAGTATATATATATTAAAAACATTTCTAAAACAAATTGACCTACCAAATATAATCATAACAGTTTGACTGAATTAGTGTCGCGTTGCATTATTATCAGATTTCAATTTCGAATAATATATATCGCTAGAAAAAATGTTATTTTTGATCCATATGCAATGCATGCATACTTGTTAACATGTAATTGTCTTTAGGCACATATGTTATCGTCATACTACAAGAGGAGCATGTGAAGAAACTGCAATTGTTTGGTGTACGTTCACATCCAAAGGTATCTGTCGGTGTCGAAGAAACCCATTTGTTGTAGTCATTGTTATACATTTGTAGCGGCCCTATACGTACATTCGTTAACCGTAATTTTTAAACGCAAATGTTATGCTTAGTGGACACACACACACACACACACACACGTCAATGCAGATGAGTGTTTGTATAATCTTCGAAAATTGTCATATGAAAGCATTAAATTATATAATATACAATTTGCAGTTGAGTTGAGGAAAATGCCATAACTAATTACAACAATGTAGGTTTTTATTTTGGGTCGACCTACGAAATATATTAGATTTTCAAATAACTGAACCAGTTTATATATATGAAAAAAAAAATAATTATGTCTGACTTACTAAGCCAAACAGTCGACTGAAGTATCTAAAGTATGAGAACTGAGAAAGAAAAGAAATTGGAAACTATGAGTCAATAGCTTCAAGAAAAAGTAAAAAAAAAAAAACTCCACGACATCTAGATTATGTCCATATACAGTATATATAGTTAGTCTCAAACTCTTTGATATATGTAATTTGTAGTTGATACACTCAATTGTGTAAGGGGAGAGTTTTGTTAAACATGAGTGGGGACTGATGAAAGGGTTTCACCATTAGTGTCGTAGTCTCAGTAGAATCTTCTCACGATCTTGAATTTCGCAAATTCAAAGCTGTTGGAATAGGACATTCCCTTATTATTGGATATATTCAAATATGTGATCGAAACCTTCAAAGTTCAAACAATGTAGATAATCTTCATGTGATTTTTTTCTTTCTATTTTTTTTGTTGAGAGATGACAATGGATTTTATAAAAGCACAACTAAAAATATAAAACCATATATAGATATATATATATATATATATATATATATATATATATATATATATTAGACTCAAGTTGTTGTTCAACTGTTGAAAGATAATATATGGAAGAAGAGTCTACAAAGTTCAGAGTATTATGTACTCGTCTTGCAAGTTGGGCTGAATAATTCAAACAACAACAATGATGTTTTACCCCTTGGCGCCATCGTCTACGACATTTGTTTTAAAAATTCTTTATTGGTGTCTCTTTGGCATTGAATCTTATTCAAAGAATATTCAACCCCCCTCCTCGACCTTTGCTAAACAAAGAAGTTAAGAATTAATCATTGTATTTCTAATAATTTATTAGCACAAAACAAATTTCATCATGGGACATCGATTACTTTTTTAAACGTATTTTATACAAAGGAAAATATAAATCATTTGCAAAAAAATATTATTTTATTAAAGTTTAAAACACCAACAAATATCAAAATTTATCCGAAAACGAAATTAATGAATTCATAGAATTTCAAAAATAATAATCCCTAACCAAAAATACAGAAACCGAAAACAAAAAAGTTATTAATTCTTCTTTTTTGGTTAAAAGATATAAAAGGTATTAATATTCCAAGTACGAAAATACGTAAAACGGTAAAAATCAAAATCTCTCCCAAAATAAAACCAAAAATTCATAGAATCTCAGAAATAACAATTACAAACCGAAAGAACAAAAACAAGAACTACAAAGTATGACAAATTCTTTCGTTTTTTTTTTTCAATTTAAAAAAGGTCACCAAAACATTTCCAAAGAAAGATAGACAACAACATACTTAGCACAAAAAGTAAACAATATCTTGTCCTTTAAGTAAAGAAGAGAAAGAGAGAAAAACGCAAATCACGCATGTATTAAGGTTGGTACCGCTAAGATTTCGACACATGTTGACATCCTAAATGTAACATAACTATACTTCACGTGTCCTATAAACTTTGTCGGGGATAAGTATTCTTCTCCCATCCATCCATGCATTATGATGATTCCATTCACAAGTTCTACTGTTTGCCCCACTTATTTGTTGAAGAGTCGTATTATTTATTTAGCCATCAGCCGACGCAAGACTACAACTACGTTAGACTTATGGTTCTTTAAAACACCCTCGACTACGCTCTCTAATAACGGATGTGCCACCACCAAACAAACGAGTACGAATCCCGCAATTACTAGCCAGCAGTAACTCTCGGTCCCCCGACGATTTTTCTTTCTTTCCCAAACCAAAAAAAAAATTGATTAATGTCTTCCAATAACGTCGCCTTCGACTCTATTACCCTTTTTTTTTCTAGTTTCTTCTTTTATTCTTCTTTTAACAAACATATCCAACGGCTTGCGCAAGGAAAACGTGCACGAACTTTGTAACAAAACGTTGGTTAGATTCTTGGATTACTCTTTCTTATGTTGTCTTTTCATTCACTCCGTGACATATTTCTAACGACATGTAGGCACTTAATAGCCCTGTACTTTATTTATTTATTTATCATTAATATTAATTATTGTACTCACCATCGTAAATTGGGGACTTAAACCATCGTAAATCTCTACATAACACTGTGCATTGCTACATCTATATTATTTAGGATATAAAAGAAAACTCATCTTTAATGGAGGACTTGAACATGAACCATCGACCATCGTAATGGAGGAATTGAACCATCGTTATGGAGGACTTGAATCATCGTAAATCTCTACATAACATTGTGTTACTCTAAGATTACTTGGGATATATATGTTAGGTGTAAGGAAAAAAAAAACCTCGTGACACCGTTTTTTATATTGGACCCCGATCACTGTCACTTATACGATTTTTAATAAAAAAAAAATAGAATATATATAAAAAAAACACGTTATATGTTTTCTTTATTTATTCGTGAGAGGTTAAAAGCCACAGAAACCTATTGGCTAAAATATAACTTACACATGAGCAGCAAAAAAAGCTTCAAGACGTTTATACTTTTTTTGTAATCCTTTGATCTTTTTACGTGTAAGCTACACGCAAAATCTTTAGAGTGTTTTTTTTTTTTTGTAATACTCATTAATCATCAGTATGTCGTCGACGGGACAAGCGCCGGAGAAATCCAATTTTTCTCAGAGGTGTAGTTTGCTCAGCCGGTACTTGAAGGAGAAGGGAAGTTTTGGGAATATTAATATCGGGTTGGCTCGAATATCCGATCTTGAGCTCGCCGGAAAATTCGACCTCAAAGGTATATATATATTTTTTAATCTCCTTTTAATTTACTTCAACGGCCGCCGCCGACAAAGACCAATATTTTTATTGTATTTTTTAGAATCTCTGGTTCGTTGATTATTCAATATGCGTGTTATACGATTTTGGTCCTATGCTAGAGCTTAAGATCAAATAATTGAAACCAACTGTTTTCTTTTAGTTGTCCCTCTAATCTTGAGCATGATAGATTCTTTTATATATACTGTTTAGTTAAAGATTTTGGGAAGGTTTATAAGAAAACGTGAAAAAGAAGAACTAAACTTTGGTGAAACTTAAGAGTTTGATCGGTTAGTGATCTTTTTGGTTTGTTTTAGGACAACAAGATGTAATTAAGAAGGCAGAAACCAGATCTTTCGAGTTGATTCAGAAGCTTTCTGATGGTGAAGCCTCTACTTCTTCTGGATGCAAAGCCATAGATGTTGTTGATCTCAGGTACCTTACATATAAAACTTTATATGTGCTCAAACTCGCTTTTTCATATTTTGATAGATATATTTTTTTTTTTAATTACATTTTGTAGCGACTGAATTAGAGAAAAGAGTAGCGGTTAAAACCGGTTATAGATGTGTGGAGTTTGACTAATGGGACAAACGGGGTTTGATTTGATTTCAGTGAACCGGAAAAAGTAGTACCGGAGCCTGGTAATTCACAGTTGACCATATTCTTCGGAGGAAAAGTTATGGTTTTTAACGAGTTTCCTGAAGACAAGGCAAAGGAGATAATCGAAGTAGCGAAAAAATCTATTCATGTTGATTCGAAGAACACTCAGACTCAGACTCAGATTCAGACTGAGGACCACATGAATCTTGACATGAACATTAGCATCAGCAAAAGCAATGTGGTCATTCCTGATCTGAACGAGCCAAATAGTTCAGGGAACAATGAAGGTCAACAAACAGGACAGCAACATCAGGGCGTGGAACGCATTGCAAGAAGAGCTTCTCTTCATCGATTCTTTGCTAAACGAAAAGACAGGTACTGTACACTAAACTTGCAATCTTTACATGAATTATTGGTCATAATATCGAATATAATAAGTTGGTCACATTGGAATTAGACATGAGAAACTTGAGCTAATCATGAAAGTGCTGACAAGTGATTTTTGTTGGGGTTATGAATTTCAGGGCTGTGGCTAGAGCTCCATATCAAGTGAACCAAAACGGTGGGCATCTTCCTCCCAAGCCGGATATGGTCAGTCCATCGCCAAAGGCAGGGCAATCCTCAGGACACTTTGCAACCCCTCCAAAACCCAAGGCCCATACTTAATTTAATCATATGGGGCAAGATATTAAGAAGGACAGTCTTCCAAAGATGTTGAGCTGAAGATATAGGACATATAAAAAACTCACGAATTCATGTTTGTTGTTTCAGTTGTTTAGGATTTCTAGCCAAATATATATTTATATATTTATATATATTCTATTCTTCCATACTTTTTTTTGGACCAATCTGAATGATTTATAATGTATCGATTAGCTAATAATATTTCCACATAATTGATGGTACTTGTTATTCCTATTTACAAGATATGAATTAAATTCTTTAAAACTGTCATTTTGATAACCTTCTATTGGGAAAAAATAATAATCACATGATCGAATCTCACTAGTTATGAACTTCTTTTTGCTAGTATATATATATTTTTTCCAAAATGTTAAAAGGAAAATGTTTTGTTTTTTTATAAGTCTAGAACATAACACATGTATTGGGCTTCCGAAGCTAGTTTTTTTTTTGTTCCTGAAAGAACACGGAGACAATTAGATTTAGCTGTTAAGTCTGTTTTGCCCTTGTCTAATCCCCGTATGATTGATTAAATTACACTTCTGCCATTCTCTGTGTCTGCTCTCTCGTGCCGTTTTCTAAAACCCTAGCAAAAAGCTTTGTAGAAGAAGAACCCCAAAACCCACATTGAAGGTTTCTTTCTTCTCTCACTGTCTAATCTCAAAAGCACAGATTGAGATTGGAATTAAACCTAATTGTCTCCGTCCTTGCAGATAAACCCTAATTTTCTGCAAACTCCCAGAACTCTGTTCAGTTCGTATGCTTTGAAAAACAACAATGTCCAAGACAAAGCCGTTGAGTAAATCATCGCAGGACTTGAGCCTACTCACATCTGATATCGCATCGTTCGCTTCGTCTATTGGTTTAGCTTCATCTCTTCCTTCTTCGGGTTTCAACGACACTGATTTCAGAAAACCTCTAAAACCCAAAAAGCAGAGAAAGAGAAAACCTAAGAATGTCGATTCTGATCAGAAGGTTGAAGAAGGAGAAGACACAAGGAAGCCTAAATCGAACGCTGGAAATGAAAAGGGCAAGGATTTCGAAGCGAAGAGGCCAAACAAAGATGCGCCGGTGAAACAAACCATACAGCCGAAGCCAAAGCCTGGATTTTTATCGATTGAGGATGATAGTAATGGAGTTAAGGCGAAACGTTTCGATCAATTCAAGGGTTTGCCTAAGTTACCTTTGGTGAAAGCGAGTTTATTGAGCTCGGATTGGTACAACGATGCGGCGGAGCTGGAGGAGAAGGTCTTTGGTGGCCGGAAAGTGGCGAATAAGGAGGATTTGAAGGGTTTGGTGGAGAAGAAGAGAGAATTAGGAGAGAGGTTGATGTGGCAATACGCAGAGGACTTTGTAACTTCCAAAGGAAAGGGTGGAGATATGAAGATGGTGATTTCTGCTCAAAAGTCAGGGACAGTAGCTGATAAAATCACTGCCTTTGAGATCATGGTTGGAGAGAATCCTATTGCTAATATGAGGTCTCTTGATGCCTTATTGGGTATGTTTCTCGTTTCCAAGAAAAATGTGATCTTTCTATTCAATGGAACGAGTATTTTTATAGGTTAATTTAGTTTCTATTTGTTTCCGAATGGTGAAATCCTCTGTAGCTTTTTGTTCATGTTATCTACTATGTTCATTGCAGGAATGGTGACCTCAAAGGTTGGAAAAAGATTTGCATTTAAGGGTCTTAAGGCTCTATCAGAAATTTTGATCAGGCACATATTTCTTACTCTTGTACTGTGCTATAAAATTAATGTGTTCAAATTCGTATGAGTCTTGCATTTTTTTTCTCATTAATTGAGCTCTTTTTTTGTTTCCAGGTTATTACCTGATCGCAAGTTGAAGACACTTTTACAACGACCCTTAAACAGCATTCCGGAAAATAAGGATGGTTACTCGCTTTTGCTATTTTGGTACTGGGAGGACTGCTTGAAACAGAGGTAAAGAAAACCTATCATTTTGCTTCTAGTCGTAGTTACTCCATCAAGTTGCTCTCTTAGGCTTCCTTTGATGGCCTCACTAGAAAAAGGAGAAAATAGAACATTACCAGAGAGCATATACATCCCAAAAGCTTTCAAAATATATTTAGCTTAAATCATACCACGAGGGATGTGTTTATCGTTTTTCCAAGATCTGTATCTTCTATTGGTAATAGTTCTGGATTGGTGTTTCAGTTAACAGGCTTATTATGCTGATTTTGTAGGTATGAGCGATTTGTCAACGCTCTTGATGAATCATCTAAAGATATGCTCCCAGAGCTTAAAGACAAGGCTTTAAAGGTATATCCTATCACCACTCTGCAGGCCCTAGCTTCTTTAGTAGCACTAGTCTCCAGGGTTTGTTAGATTCTTGATGAGCTATCAAATTAGACATTTGAGTATTATCATGTAATCCTTCTCTGGATGATGCATAATTGCATGTAGCTTGGTTTTCTTATGGCGACAGTGAGTTTTTTTGCTTGGTACGTGATCTAGATTTTTTTTTTAAGTAAATAATATTGGTTTGGTTTGGTTTCAGACTATATATTTCATGCTGACAAGCAAATCAGAACAAGAGCGGAAATTGCTAGTGTCATTGGTGAACAAGGTATTGTCAATTGTTCTTTCAAATATTTATATTGAATTAAATTTTCTCAGCTGTGATTTCTTAAATTGTTCTGTGGATTACTTTACACAGTTGGGGGATCCCCAAAACAAGAGTGCATCTAATGCTGATTATCACCTGACAAATCTTTTGGCTGATCATCCTAATATGAAGGTGCGGCTATTCAACCTTTCTATGCCTAGTTTGAGGATTTGATTGCTTGTTCTTTTGGCCTCTTCTCTTTGGCTTACCTGTATACTTATCTTTGCAGGCTGTGGTGATTGATGAAGTTGACTCCTTTCTCTTTCGACCTCATCTTGGATTACGTGCAAAATATCATGGGGTATGTCCTTTATTTACTGTTTATATTTTCAGCACAAGATACGTTTCCATTATCCTATTCTAATTAGATTCACGATAACCGTTTTTCTACGTTTTCTTGTTCATCTCATGGTTATCACCATCTAAAGTGTAATGTTTGGCTTCTTTAGACCTGAATGGGAAACTATTTAACTGAGACGTTACAAAAGAAGGGTATTATAACTTAGCTTTTAGCTTTTCTTAAACCATGCTTATTAATCCATGTAAATTTCACAGGTTAACTTTTTAAGTCAAATTCGATTAAGCCACAAAGGAGATGATCCAAAGGTGGCAAAACGCCTAATTGATGTATATTTTGCTCTATTTAAGGTAATATAACTGGCATTTAACTTCTAAATAAGTGAAAGATCAAACATTTTCTTGTGATCTTAATTTTTTTTGCCTCTCCATCTCCAACTTCCGTTCTCATGATCTCGGAGACCTCTCCCCTAAATGTTTTCTTTTGGGGTGTCATTAACATAAAATATTTCACCCGTTGGATACTCAAATCTGAGATACAGGAGTATGTTTGCATTTTTGTAGGTTTTAACCACTGAAGCAACTAGGAAACAAGGCGCAGATGATAAAGGAGTTGCTGATAAGAAAAATGCCAACCCAAAGGACGCAAAACAAGAGTCACCATCTGATTCACCTGTTGAATTGGATTCCAGAATTTTATCAGCTTTACTAACTGTTAGTCCGGATGTTTTTATTTTTGTATACATGATATTATAGCATCGAGACTTTACAGAACTTATACCTTATCCCGTTATTGCAGGGAGTTAACAGAGCTTTTCCATATGTTTCCGCTGACGCAGCCGATGATATTATTGAATCCCAGACGCCGGTGCTTTTTAAACTGGTAATTCCTAATGATTCAGCGTATAAGTTTTGTTTCATTAGTTGCAACAGAAAATTAATAAAGAAAATGGGATCTTGAATTCATCTAGGTACACTCAAAGAATTTCAATGTGGGAGTTCAATCACTGATGCTTCTTGACAAGATCTCATCCAAGAATAAGATTGTCAGTGACAGGTTTTACCGTGCATTGTACTCGAAACTTCTCCTTCCCTCTGCAATGAACTCTTCTAAGGCAAGCTAAATTTTGAAGCTTCTGTTTTTCTGTGTTTACATCACGTCATATTATTCTTTGTTTGTGAATGGATAATCACCCTTACAATTTGGTATAGCCCGAAATTGGTTGCAGAGTGTTGGCGTATGCACATTTCGTACATATTTAATTGTGTGAAAACCATTTTATCTTGTGATAAAAATACTGATGTACTTCCCCTGGGATGCACAGGCTTTTCTTCATAACCCTGATTAATAATCTGGCATTCCTAATTTTCAGGCTGAAATGTTGATTGGGCTTCTTCTCAGAGCCATGAAAAATGATATAAATGTGAAGCGTGTGGCTGCCTTCGCCAAAAGACTCGTGCAGGTTGGTAACATGAATTAAATAATTTATCAACCCCATCGTTGGTAGCTCTGGTTTCATTGACAATGACAACAAAATTCATATCATTCATCCTATACAGGAATCTTGATTATTTTGTTATATGAATTATTGGTGTTGACATTCTCTGGGTACGAGTTTTTTCTGTTTGTTATCTCTAATGTTTACTCTTAAATATTTGAGTAGGTAGCGCTTCAGCAGCCACCACAGTATGCCTGTGCATACCTATTCCTTTTGTCTGAAGTGTTAAAAGCGAGACCACCTCTATGGTAAGCTTTTTTTTTATTTTGTTAACCATATATCCATGGCTTTTATCTGGTGATAGAATGGTTCGTCTATTTACCTTGCAGGAAGATGGTGGTTCAGAGGGAATCAGTTGATGAAGAAGATGATGTAGAACATTTTGAGGATGTGATAGAGGGAGATGATATTGATCCCAATAATGAAGCAGAGAAGAACAAGAGCAATGTTGAAGTTGATAATGATGGTGGCGAAGTTACAGGTAAAGATGGTGATTCTTCTTCAGATGACGAAGAGGCCTTGGCAGGCAGGCAATCTGATGAAGAAGATGACTATGCTTCTGATGATTCTGAAGAGCTGTTTATAAAGGAAACTCCCCATGAGCGTCAAGAAACTGTAGAAGTTTCTAATGATATAGAAAAAAGAAGCCAACCACCAATCAAATCGATTTGTCTTCCTGGAGGATATGATCCTCGTCATAGAGAACCTTCTTACTGGTCAGTTAATCTCTAAA